TATTAGAGAGTTTTTAGAAGGTGACCCGACCAACTTAAAGTTTCAGTCATTGTGATATAGATAATTTCTCTATTGATGATTATTACACATTTACAGTGCCTCACTCCTGTCATGTCTGTTTCAATTGACAGGGCAACAATGTTTTAGTCGAGAAAAAAAAGGTGATTTTCAATTAGGTTAAAATTCAACTAATTGTGTTGATTTCATTGGTTGATCTCAATAATAAAATAATAAATAGCTCTTGAAATTGGTTGTCAGATTGACCAAGCAATGATTTTGATACACACTCAACGTGGCAACTAGACTAAGCGATCTGAATACCTCGAGCTTGATTCGGACTCGGGTTGACTTTGATTTTTTTTCAAATTTGTTTGAATTACATAATGACTCAAATCTGATCAAGTTTATAAACTTATTTTATAATAGATCCGAAAGACAAGACCAAATGACTAAGCTTGAATAGGTTGCAATTTATAAATAATTCTCATTTTGTGGCAAACAACCTCCACTCAAAAGATCCAACCCCCACAATTTTCTTCCCAAATAACTTAAGGTCATATGTGCTTTGCTTCTTCCTCTCTATCTTCTATAACTAATATTTGCAAAATTTGAAATTGTTAGGTTTTTATTTTGTAGTTGATTATACAGATTTTGATTTTTTTTTTGTTAAATTAAATATCTTAGAATTACTTTTTGGAATTTATTGCTGAGAAATGAGCTTATTTTTAACTCGAGTTCAACACGAAATCTCACAGCTCAAGCTTGGTCAATCAAATTCGAGCTGAATCTTTTTTTTTTTTCGGGTTCGACGGTCAGAATGTCCAGACTAGTTTACGTGTACCTCGACTAATTCTCTCTCCGATCCGATTAAAGACGTGTCATTCACGCTAATACTAGGGTATTTCATAAGGGATAAAGATTCAAACTCAGGACGTCTACGTTTACAGCTCGTCCTTATTACCATTTAAGTTGCCTCTTGGGGTTAGAGTCGAATCTAACATGCTTAATATTGATTAGCGCCCACATTAAGAATATATTATTCTAATTTATAAAAATGACATAAGAGGGAAATTAATGAGTAGCTTCAAGATGAGTGGGAGATATTAGTACTTATTAAAAGCTGAATTTAACGTCATCAAACCCTTTAATCAACAAAAGCTAGTGGGAAAGTAATTAATATTTGATTGATTCATTGTTTGGTCTACAAAGCACATTACCAAGGCTTTTAGTAACACCATCAGGTGTGGATTCCATAATGTTTGAGGTGAGGTGGTCCAACCCTCACCCAACATGATTTTGATAGCTACACATTTTTTGCATATTGACAGGAGTGAGGGAGGCACTTGGTGGATAATGAATGAGGCTTAAGTCAATGTCACCTCTCCCCAAGAATCAGCTTCTGATTCATTAGGAAACGTTAGGCCAGCAGCATATGTGTGGTGTAATTTTAGACACGACACTAAGCGCGATATAAAACTGATATGTTATAGCTGAGTAGTTCTCGAGATGAGTTCAAATCTGATACGATATGTTAAGAGTTAGCGAACTTGATTTTTACTTAATTTGAAGGGAAAAAAGCCCTTAAATATTTGTCACAACAAACAATTTAGCTAGTGTATTAAGGAAGACATTGGGTTTTCTTTATGTTTGTTAATTCTTGATCTCGAATTGTATGAAACATTATAAAATTAGAGAATTTTTCCTTCAATTTTACAAGCATCTGGACTTGGTAGATTTTTAGTTTCTGAAAAAAATATAGATGATTGGTTTGATTTTCAATTCACTAATCATGTCTTAGGGAGGAGATGCCCGCCCATGGACCTCCATTCTCATTAGGATTTAGGAGGTCGAACCAACGATCTATGAAGTCAAGGTTACCCCGTCCCCATGGACAACGCAATAGTGTCCTGAGGGAGGAGTTTAGAGGTCTTATAGTAGCACAAACTTCTTTTTCTTTCTAGGTCAAGTGAAGGGAGTCAATGCAAGATCATACTGCGTGTCCATCAAACATGGCATGATGGACAAGTATGTCGGGTTAATCTAAACTTATTTCCCAAGATTAATTGAACAAGCTAAAGTATATTTGATAATTAACAGAACACGATTCGATAATCACACCATTCCTGTGAGTGGCCAACTAGGTGGGAAATGGGATCTGCATATCAAAAAAGAAGGCCCAAAATCCGCCTTAGCAAATGGAGGACTTGGAGGAGGAATAAGTGAAAAAGATTCAAATGGCTGGAAACATATTCCTGCTTATGTATGAGTTGACAGTCTTTATCTTTTTTTTTTTTTTCTGTTTTTTCAATGGCGTACTTTGACTAATTATATTTTTGATTTGGTCAAAGACATGTTATTCATGTCGGACTAAGATATTCATAAGAGATAAATTTTTCATAATCCAGCCCCAAAAAATTATCAAGATTCGAACTCAAGACATCTGAATTTACATTGGAGTTTGACCTTGTTTATCAAATTGGGGAAGAAAAGGGAAAACAATTCTATGTATTAGAACATTCTCTTGTGTCAATTGTCAATTAGATTTGAGGAATTTCTGGTGGTACCACAGAGAATTTATGTCCTAAATTGCAGATGTGTTGTAATCTTAGTCTATTCAATTACAGACTCTTAGAATAATTATGTCAATTCTAGTGGATTTGATACCCCATAACTTGCAGTGGTGAAGCAAGGTATATATTGTGAATCCCATAAGTCGTATCCAACTCTAACTCTTTTCTACTCTCATTCCACTAGTGGTTGATTCGAAGATTACTTGTTTAAATTAGTTAAGTAATACGAGTCGTCGTTATTGACTTCTTTTTTTTTGAATAAAATTATTCAAAAAATTTATTTACGTAAAAAAATATTGATTATAATCAAAAGATAGTAAAGTTTTAAGCTCGAGGGAGAGTAACTAACCTAACTCAATGGAATGGAGTTAAGATAAAGCATTCGGTGCAACCCAATGAGCTGCTCTATTGAGAGCTATTGGTTTGTATAAAAACCTTAAATTTAGGACTTTAGAAAAATGCCTAATATCATCAACCAAAGCACTAATTTCCCAAGGGGGAATTCCTTCAATTGAACTCAACTTAATTATCTCCCTATTATCGCTTTCAATGCTCCCCTGTTGAAGCTCTGAGGAAGATGCAAGAAAGCATGCTTGTCTAACCGCAGAAGCTTGAGAGTACGAGTTGGAGACCGCGGGGATTCGTTTTGCAATACCCTCCAACAAACCCTCGTTAGTGTCCCTCAGGATCACCCCTATAGCATCTTCTCCATTCTCTTCAAAGCTCCATCGCAACTCAGCTTCAAGTCTCGATTTAACAGTGTATCTTTTAACACCGTGCCATGATGTTGTGACATAGCCCAAATCTTTTGTCATATCTAACATTTTTCCTCTAAAAAATACTCTTCCACGGCAACGCGAGCAATGATCTCAATACCCTCTGCATCAATAGTTGATATCGCGAACCTTGAACAATGGTGTGGAGGGTGACGTTTTGTGGAGTTTAAATTTAAGCTTTGTGTATAAATATCGTATCTATATGATGTTCTAAAGTTTTTTTTCCCCGAAATTAGAATAATTGACATATAGTTTCATAATTTGGTGGAATATTCTTGCAATAATAAAGGCCCCAGCAGGACATGCTTTTGTAAAGTAATTCCATCAAGATTTAAGAAAAGTAATTTTTTTTCTTTTTTCAGTTTTTTAGTTGTCCTTTTTTCCCACTTGGCTGTAAAACAAAAGAAAAAAGAATCAATATTTGAAACATTATTATATCTTTTTGAAAACTTCCATGCCTATACGTTATTACGCTTATTTCTAATTTTGAGTCTCACAAAAATTAAAAAAGTAAAAAAAAAAAAAAAAAACTTAATGTGTGTGATTGATGGGTGATTGCAAGCATCCGAAACTTGTAAAACACTACTACATAGGATTCAGGAGTAGAATGTGATGCTGGCAATTAAACTCTCAAAGTTCCATCCATTTGCCTTTTTATGAGGAAAAATGGAAACAAAAGGAAAGGAGATGCAAATATGACAACTATTTTAGGTGCAAAATATTTGTTGAGACCTTTGTGTGTAACAAATGAGCTGTGTGGATGCAAACAGAGTAACAATAAGTAAGAACGTAAGAAAAAAAGTGGTTCACTAAACCGAAGAGTTAAGTTAGTCTACTGTAATGAAATTTTTTATTCCTCTGGTTTATTTACATTGTTTGATGAAGAAGACAGTTACACTCTTGAGAATACAATTGTCTATCCCTTGGCAAGGCAAGGGCTGTTTATTTATATATTAGGGTAGTGTGGTCCCTTAGTTTTTTAGGATATTTGACTGTTAGATGTTCTCTTCCCTAGATATGACGTGACATTCTAAAAGTTGTGACGTGACATTCTAAAAGTTGTGACGTGACATTTTGGATTTAATAATTTTTTGACCAAGATAGAATTTGGTGGTGTAATTCCTCTTCTGTAATTTTTTAAGCAAGCTGAGTTGCTTCAATAGCTACCGAACTACTTTGGTAACTGCTAAACTGGCTCATGCATTGGTTGATCTGGTTTTCTTATATTAGGCCAAGCAGCCGGTTAGCTCACTACCTTAATAAAGGAAGAAGTTTATGTTTAATTATCCTCCGACTAGTTTCTTGTGAGACCTTTTTTGGGTATGCAGGTACTAAGAGTCCTCTCATTATCTACTAGTAGACATCATTTGACTGGGGTTTGCCGATATCAACAACAAGAAAAAAATCAAGTCAGCCAATTCCGTGGTTTTAAATGAGAGGGTGGTGAAAATTGATATGATAGTGTACAGATTAACACAAATTTTATTAATTGAATACAAGTAGAAAATAAGATTCATAGAGCTGATCTCAAATAATTAGGAAAAAGTTCGATTGAATAGAGATTAGTTGGGGGAATAATTGGATGTAAATGAGCAACTATTTCAACTTGAACCCTTATTTCTTTTTCTTTTTTTTTTTCTGCTTTCGTGGAAATATGATTATTTTTGTTTTACTATTAAACAAAAAAATTTTATGTTGGTTTAGTATTGAAAATTGAAAATAATGATCGAGCATTCCTTTATTACCCGCCATTTACTGATACCTCGTGAAACATTTTTCAAATGCAAAAGTTCCTTTTTGACACATTTTACTACTGTTTTGAGAATGAAGGGTGGCACACATAATAAGGAACCATTAGCTGCATCATACAGGATTTTTTGCTACTGAGTATTTAGGGGTTGCGCCGATTATTTTCACGAGTTCAGCGGCTAACTACTGTGATTTGAATTGATTTAAATCATGTCTCTATAGGGACAAAGGTGGCTAGCCCTTAAGAGGGATGAGAAAGAATTGGAACTACGATATCTGGGTTACCAAAGGTCAAGTTCAACTACTGAACCAACCCGAAGTGTATTGTACAAGATTATAGAACAAGCGAGCAAAAAAAAAAAAAGTTGCTAGTATTGTGTATGAAGAATCATCGTAGAAGGGGTGAAAGACATGAATCTTTGAAACACTAGCCTTTAAGAAAGAAAAACAAAAGAGAAGAAAATGTGTCATGACTTATATTACTATAGTATACAAGTAAAGGCTGTAAAGAAAGCTTGGTGACAAAATTTGAGATAAAGAAAAACCCAATGTGGGATCTGAAAATGAATCTTTGACCAAAAAGATGGTGAATATTTGTTGTCATCTTGATTCAAACGAAATCACTAATGTTCAATCATATACATTTGCCAAGCTTAAAACAATGGATTCATGACCTAATGGTAAAGAAGCATAGGAATTCTAGGCCTCTGCTTGTTGAGCCCCATAGGAATGTGGCAAGACAAGTAGCCACGAGCATGATCGTTCTCAACATTTTGTGTCCACAGAAACAAAATCGATCACCAAATTAATGGACCATTTAAAATTTAACAAATAAGTTCTTGTAAATGGAGAAAATATTCAGAGACGAGAATCTCGTGCACTAATTTTTCCTTAAAAAGGAGAAGTTTTTCTCTTTTCCTTTCCTCCCATATTGGGATGATATGGTAACATAAGCTCGGAAGCGAAGGCTTTCTCCCTTCCCTCTTCCCTTTTCTTTTCCTTTTTCCTTATTGCTTTCCCTCCAACCAAACAAAGAAAAACTCATCCTCTTCGTTTGTTAAACAGAACGACGTAGTTTTATATCAACACAACATCGTTTTTATCAACAGCAGAGGAACCAGACCCGGGTTTGAAGTCCTCATCTTCAAAACATAAACAAATAGTTTCACTTTTGTTATAGATTGATATCCCATTTGCCAATCCCATTGGAAAAGTTCACTAAAAGGCATTTGATCGAGAACATAGTGTGCATGCCATCTGACTGCTCTTTTGTTGTGTAGCTTATACTAAAGTAAAACTTGTAAACTAGCCGATTCGTTAGTGACAAATGCGAAGAAATAGGAGTAAAGAAAGGTTGAGAAAAGAGCTGCAATGTCAAACATGATCGGATTCATATGGGCAATTCTTTCGACTACAACCCTTCTTTTCCTCTCCCACAACTTTTATATTATGATGGTCTCTGATATTTTTATGGAAGATGGTCTCTTTGATTCAAAACTGCTGTTTTCAGAACAAGGGAGGTGCACTTTTTGATATTATAATCAGAGGTTAACACCTTATTAGGTAAATGGGGTGTAAAGAATGGAATCTTTGACCAAACATCCACCATTTATGCACTAAAACATATATAGTAGTTCACTTTGGGGATCCCTTCAATACATCTTTTTTTGATTTAATATGTGAAAATAAATGTGTATGCACGTATATCTTCCTTCATTTGATAGTATGAAATCTGTAATTGAATCGAACACCCAATAGAGGGTGATGGAGAAAATGGACAAAACAGACTCACTTTTTTCAGTGAAAAAGATGAGTTCCTTTTTCGTATCGAATTTCTCATCGAATAAATATAGGAAAAGAATTCTATTGAAAACGCTCCTAACACAACCCCTTCCTTGGTGGAGCTGGGTGTGTATCCATACGGTTCTTGATTGCATAGGCAAATACATTGAACTTTTCTCATCTAGTTGATGAAACTAGTCGAATAACCATATATCGTAATAGTTATGTACGCCCACGAAGTCATTCCTCCTTGAGCTCGCATAATAATTGCTTAATAAAAAATATATATTTTCGACAGATTTGCTGGCTAATTTACTTAAAGGGGAGAAAAGATGTTAAGTTAGCTTAATGAGTAATATGAGTGAATTTAAAGATGACCCACATTGTGGTCTCTCAAAATGAATCTCTGACCAAAAGATACTAAATTTTTGTCGTGTTCTTCAATGACATCAACAAATCTCAATCATGGAGACTTGAAAAGGTGAAGATAATGGACTAATGACATGGTGAGAGGCACAAAAATCCTTGGCCCCCTATCAGTTGAGTTGAGAGTATGATGACCCCCAAATAATGCATGCTCCATCAAACACTAAGCAGTGTCCGGATCCTCACTTGTTGCTGTCCACATTGCAAGGCCAAAGAATGTACTAAGGCGATTCAGATCGACTCTAATACATTTTTGGGTAAGGCTATTTTCATTCCCATAAATTTTTATTTTTATTCTATTTAATTTCTCATTATCAAATTTCCAAGTTCTCTCATTCTGTATCCGGTCCATTAGTAAGTAAATCTATCTTATGTTACACACACTCCTTTTAACAAGTGAACCCACTTTATATGTTGTCATAATTAGAGTTTCAGAATCTATCTTATCTCATACACTCATAAAAATACTTTTTCAATATGAATTTGTCTAGTAAAATACAAATTTAATAATTTGTTATTTAGAATTTATATGTATATATATATATATATATTATTTTTTCTTTTTTATCTTGTTAAAATTTTGCATCTATATTTGTTATTTTTTTTTTGTTTGATTTTGTGTTTATGTTTGATACTTAATTTTTTTTCATATTCAATTTGGCGTCTTGTAGTTTTGCTTCTTTCTTTCTATTTTTTATTTATTTCCTTATTTTCTTTTTTCTTATTTTGGTCTGCTTGTTCTCTTTCTTTTTTCTGTTTTCATTCTTTACTTTTTTCTCATTTCAACATGCATGATTTTTTTTAACTTGTTTTGTTTTTGTTTGTTTTTTTTTTCTTGTTTCACTTTTGCTTAGTTTTTTTTTTTTTTTTGTAAATATATTTATGCTAATTGTCTTCTTTTATTTTAACATGCTTGGTTTTTTTTTAGTTGTTTTGTTTTTGGTTGTTTTTTTTTTCTTGTTTCAGTTTTGCTTAATTCTTTTTTTTTTTTTTTTCTTATTTTGTAAATATATTTATACTAATAGTCTTCTTTCATTTTTTTTTCTTAACGATAACTTCTTTTATTAATTGAGTGTTTGTAACATGAAGTAGACTTAGTTATTAATAGAGTTGATGTAGAAAGGGTAGGCTTAGTAGTTTGATAATGAAAAATTAAATATGATAAAAATAGAGATTTATGAAGTGAAAATAACTTCACCTGACTTTTTTCTCCATTTTCCTTTTTTATAAATCATCCACCAGCGATGACAGAAAGAAAAGAACCACGTGCATTCAATAAATCCCACTTGAATTCGCAACATAATCCACCAACAAATAAATTAGAGAAAAAAATGTATTGAAAAATATTTCATTCCTATTCAGGAGAGCTTTAATTTATGGGTGATTGGTCAATCAATAGACTGTAGTACAGTCAATTAAATGTTGACATAGATGTTTAAGAGGGTTTAGATATTTAAACCACAATCCTGACAGTAAATAATTAAAAAATAATTATAATACATCTTTTTTTCAATGCTAAGAAGTGTCCAAATCAATTTATATACAGTTCGACTAATCCCCTCCTCAATCCGTTCAGAGATAAGTCATCCCCTCTTTTGGTCAAAGATTGAACTTGTAGCCATGCTTCCCGCTATATCCTGCCCATTAGTTGTAGCATTTCATTACTCGAGTTAGTATCCTTTGTATCCAACACTTCTCAACCTCTGCAGTCCAAATTGGGCTTCATGAGGCAACCTTACCAGATCAGCCAAAATGAGCAGGCAGAGATCAAAGTAAATAGTAAATAGTCTGTAGCTGTTTAGGCCTAAAGTAAGCTGACCAAGTGCAGCCCAAATAAGCATATGTAGTCCCAATAGGCCTAGTATAAAGGAAGGGCCCAAAAGCCATTGACACATAACACTAGACATTTAGGAAAAACCCACTTCCCTGGAGCCATACATTGAAGGTTAACCAAGCTCAAAAAGCCCAGGAGGCTTCTTAGAGTTCTGTTTACTAGATTACATAGGTGTACATAACTAAAATTACCAACAAGTGAGAACCTCTACAACTCAAGGACACCAACCTTCTAAACAAAAGGCATCACTACAGCAATGGATACATATGGTACAGATATAACTACAGAATGAAGTGAGCATTTAGGTGTCAGTATTTGTTAGCATCAACTACCAAATGCAAAGATCTCTATTACTCCACTTCTATCGAGGTCATTTGCACTGTGCTTTCAGTCTCTTCGCGGCCTGCACAAACCCAACAATGACCTGCAGCTCGTCCAATTGCTTCACCAAGGAAAGAGTTCATAAATGATCAATCACATGGGATAAGTGCAATGCTTTGCTTATCAAAAACAAAATGTCAAAAGTGAGAATATAAACAAGTGATTCAAGATATCAAGTTGATCATTTACAAGGTATTTTGTCCAGATTGGTAAAACATAGTCCATGGCCCATTAGGAGAAGAGCAGGCCCGAAGTTTACCTGCGACATAAAATGCCTCTGAACAACATCAATTAATTGCTCTTTAGATGGGTTGGGGATGGCATCCGCCTAGTCAAATACGATAATGTTAGATACAAACACAAATATTAAAGGTACTCGAGCCAGTCTTGAACAGATTAAACACTCACAAGGTTAAAGTATCGCCAATATCTCCATAATGTGGTGATTTCTAATTTGCCAAGGTCAATCTTCTGCAGAGATGTATAACTTAAATGGTTTAAAACATAGTCATGAACAATTGCAATATTTTGGTTAAGTCACATAACTAACCTAAAGAATGCACATAAAAAGGAAAAACACATAATGAAAAAAAAATTAAAGGTCCTCACCGTGGATCCCTGAGGGATAGAAAATGACCCCTTAGAATGCGACTCACAAGAGAAAGACCTGCTCATAGTCTTCTGCAATGACCCAGATTTCTGCATCCGATGCTTGGATCTGTGGGACTTTTGAGTATTATCGGATGCTGGAGAATTGGAAAAATCTTGTCCAGTCATGTTGGGTAGTTGGCCACAAAGGAACAATAATAAAGAAGTGCAATAACAGAGCTTGAAGCAATAGGAAATATAAAGATTACAGATACAAAGGATCCTATGTAATTAACTCAACAGCCCTTCTGTTAAAAAGAACGAAAATTAGATAAATTTCTTATAAAAATTCAAATGGCATCTAATCATCAGTCACACTTATTCATAACAACTCCAGCCAAGAACAACATGCAAGCATATCACTCAATTTGAGACCAATATTCACATAAATCTTCCTCGGCCTGGTGGATCAAAATATGCAGAAGGTAAGCTCATTATCTTAAAATATTAGTATATCCAGTTCCGAAAAATTCTGGGTTCAACATTTTAGCAAAGTACTGTGCCAAATTTTGGCTAGCAAGGGCACAAAACATTGTGTTGACCTTGTTAAACAAACTCACCCAGGTCTGAACCATTCCACCGCATATTCTCCAATTCAAGGTCATCATCTTCCTCATTACCAGTAGGAGCTTCAAGCACACTTAGGGCATTCCTTTGTAGCTTTACTTCTATGCCATTTGTAAGAACCTACATTAGGTGAACTAAAAATTCAGGTCCCACTCCAAAAAAACCCCAATGCATAGTGAAAGTGGACTAAGTATTTACATATACGTATCCGTTAGGTACAGAAGTGCACAGACAACTCTACCAAGTACAAGACCTCACTCAAGAAAGTACTGAAAATAATGTCATTGGTCATAGAACCTTAGAGTACGAACAAAACAAAATTTTGCTCACACTAAAAGAAGGAGAAACTTAATTGAACCACCCTATTATATTCTTGGCATAGGAATTTGCTAAACGGTACATAAATTCTAATATTTTCAATCAACATCAATCCAAGTCTTCAGTTTATTAGGGATCAAGAACCCCAATATTATTAATATTAGATAAGAATCATCACCCAATTTGGTCACCGTTAATCCAAATTGTTAGAAAATACTCAGAAATGTCCAACTAAATTACAATCATCTAAAAAAAAGTTACAAGAACGAATCAAATAAATTAGAAGAAGAATTAAATAAAATAACCCCCAAACGCTGATTCCAATCTAGCTTATAGTGAAACTCTAAAATGAATCAAAACATATAAAGTAGGACCAAAAAAATCCGAAGAAATTGCGTCATGCGTGTACATACACAAGTTACTAAATTTAATATAACCAATTCTATTGATAATCACAACAAAGAACTTGCATTTTAAATTTCAAATCACACACAAACAGAAAGCCTTTCTGTGGAAAAAATAATACCAAGATTATTTTAGAGGGGGGAAAAAAGAGACACCCAGTTGGGTTGAGTTGGACTGGAGGTATTTTCTCTTTTATTTTTTTTAATCTCAATAGCTAAGCAATCAATGACATCGCAAAGTATGAGAACAAGTAGCTAAAACAAGCTTAGAAGGAAATATTCATGAAAATTTAACAAAAAAAAAAAACCATTTTTACACCTTCTGTAAACTAACTAAATACACTAGGTCCATGCAAGATGTGATTGAAAAAACACTAACAATCTGATAAAGCATTTTCCACAAAACTCAATCCTGCAGAGCAAACTCACTAATACAGTTAAGTATTAGTGAGCAAACTCACTAACACAGTGCTCTAACAATTCTCACCATTGACAAAAATACCATTCCGAGTCATGCATTGAAATGTAACAGCCCCCAAATGCCATTGAAATCAAGGCCACAAATAAGCCAAAGCAAAATAAGGAAGATGTTTTTTTTTTTTTTCTAAAAATAGATTAAAAACCTAAATCCATTGATTAAAAGCGACATGCAGAGGAAACCAATTCTCAAAAATCAGAATTTGTTAACAATATAGCTATTAAACCTACATTGGCCAGAACACTACTAATTAAAATCTTCAAAGCCACAAACCCAAACCCCATTACACCCCCAAAAGCATTCTCAATCAAAACCCAAAATAAGCCATTGTTTTCTAGATAACCCAAAATTATAAAGTCTGATTACCAGCCAATGCCACCCTCCAAGCCCAACAGCCTTCTTGACAACGCCTCGGAGGCCAACAAGTACAGACTTCGTTCTGTTGTTCCCGGTGACAACCACCTTGGTGTGACGAGGTAGAACAGAGAGATCTTCTTCACTACCATCTGCACAGCTCTGTAAATGTGAAAAGCCGCCATTTACGGAACTCTCAATTGCTTCAAGCATTTCTATTCGAACTCGGACACTCTTGTGAGCACAAAAACTCAGTGAATTTATGGGTTTCGGTGGATAAAACTGGACGTAAGAGAAAGGCCATGCATTGCAGAATTTGAATATGACATTTTCGAGAAAAATAGAGCTGGAAAAAAAGGTGAAAAATGTGAATTTCTGACAAAGAGAAAACACAACTGTTAGAGAGAGATAGAGAGAGTTGGACTGAACAAAGAGAGAGAAAGAGTGGGTATTGAGAGAGACGGAGGATGAGAGTGACTCTGTTTTCTTTCCTTTTTTAATTGCTTTGTGTCAGCTATGAATCCAGACCACTTAAAATTGACCAATGTAGTAACGCCACATGGACAGTGTTGTGTTTTTCTTCGCCCTGGCTTATTTATTACCAAAAAAAAAAAAGAGAAGATAATTTGCGTATTTCCAAAAACAATAATTTTATATTCACTAAATTTAAAGCTTTAATGACGTTTTATTTAGTATTATATTGTTTTGGCCTTAATAAAAATTTTAAATAATATGCTATCATATCATTTAAATTTTAAATTTAATCCCAAAATTTAATCAATGTAACATTACTCTTCAAAAAAATGTGTTTAATTTACTTAAATTGACCAAGAGTAGTTAACTTTTTAGTTTTATTAATAATAAAAAAATATATAAATATTCTAGTCATATTGGTATACCAATTTTTTTAAGTTTTAGGATAAATTACACTCGGACATTTAATTTTATTACACGGACACCCCCTCTTGTTTCAACATTTTGTTTTATTACATGAGCTCCTAAAACCATTGAATCAACCGCCAGGCTGAAGCTCGGTGGTCTTTACATCTTTCTCTACTGGAAGGGCTTGTTTTAAGGTTTTGGAAGTCAGCTCAGAAGTTGTTTTATGCCCTGCCCTGCCCTGGCCGCAGTAATTGGCACCAACATTCCTATATGTTGGGTGTAAGATTTTGCTTCTTACTGGTCATCCTGTTCCCAATCTTTGAAATCTTGCTATTCGAGATCGAGTTAAAATTGATTTGTTGAACATGGAATCATCAATATCCATATTTTTTCTAAAATAAAACTACAATATAAAAAAATGGATTCTATCCATAAATCTTATTGTTTATTTATGACAATTAATCTTGAAAACAATACAATACAAAATTTTTTGCAAGTTTCGTTTTTGACCATTACTGAAAATAGGAAGGAACGATCACGCCCCCCCCCCAAAAAAAAAAAAAAAAATTGGGTCTCCTACTTTGGTGCTAAATAAACTTGGAATTGTAAAAGGTACAGAAAATTAGATTTAATTGTTTAAAAATATACAATTTTTAATATAAGGTAATTAAATCTTTTTTTTTAAAACTTAATTGTGTCCAAATACTCAATTTGACTTCTTCTTTTTTTGACATATTTATTCTCCCTTAAATCATGCATTATTTTTTAGGCAGTTAAGTCGAGTTTTTATTTTATTTTATTGTATTAAAGATTTTCTAATATTATGACAGATTTGTAACATCCATTTATTATGTGTATCTCAGCCATTTCTGAATTTTAAATTTTTTCACATTATTGTTAGTTTTCTTTTTTCTTCTTTAAAACACAAGCTATTACCATTTGCTAAAGTTCAAACATAACATCATTTTTATTCTCCAAAGTCATTATTAGGTGTGAATTTATGTCTTCATTAATTTTTTGTTTAATTTTTTCATTATTCCGTTTTCTTTTCTTTTTTTTCATAGTTCTTTTGTTTTCGTTGATTACCCACTCATGCGCAAACATAACCTCAATGATGTTTTTTTTTTTGTTTTCTTTTTTGATCTAGGAACACCATTTTGGATGGTGTTACCAGTTTGCGCCATAATTTTTTTCCCAGTTTGACACTGTGGGAAATGTGTTGTATGAATTTGTGTGTGCAGTTGTTACACTGATTATGTTACATAGTTGTCTTTGCTGCACTGTTAATAGTCATCAAATACACTTAGAATTAGCCTGAATTCCATTTTGAAAATGATTTCACCTGATTCATTCATAAACACAAAAATATAATACTTTACAGTTACACTTTTGACCACATTTGATGAATATGATACATTGACCTGATACACTATTTCTTACCAAGCTATATTATCAACATTATAAAATCCTGGACAATTTTTAAAATATTCACCAGATACCAAAAAAATTCAATATGGAATTTCAACATCCATAATTTATGGTTCAATAATGTTCAACTTAAAAATAAAAAATACATATAGAATAATTGGTCATTTAGTTCCAGTCGTATTTTCAAATCTTCTTCGGTCTAAGAATTTAGATGATTCAGAAAAATCTTCAAATCTTCTTTAGTCCCCCTTTCGCAGATAATGGCCCCACACTTTGCTCCAACACGGATTCTCTATGTCGGGTTCATATTTGGTTGCAGATGACTTTCTTTTTCTCCCCAGGACTGAGTAATGTTACACATGTTGCAAAAAACAAGATTCAAAAAAAAAAAAAAAAACATGACTAGATATACAAAATGAAAAGCACACATGTTATCAGGCATTGTGCATTCAAAGTGGAGTAACAAAGTCTTCATTGCAAATCCTGTAGATTATCAAAATAGCCAGGATGTATGGTTTGAAAGTGTGTTAACACACAGTGTAGCAATACAATTACACGTCACACTATACTAATACAATGATGTTACAATAGTCCAACCACTAAATGAGAAACAACAATGCACTAGGAAAAATTAACAGTCCTATTCAACCAATTGAAAATCATCAATGATCTAGAAAAATAATAATACCAAACAAAAAATAAGCAAAGAGAACAATAACCATTGGGGTTACACAATTACATTATTTCAAGAGCTAAAAGAAAACTCTATGGTGAATCAACAAATGTTTTTTGTGTTGGACATACCATATACCCAAAAGAAAAAACGATATACCCACCCACCACAAACTAGGATTTGAGGATTAAACAATTTTGGGTTTTTAGGTAGAAAAAAAAGTGTACAGCGACATATTGTACTTTATGTTTTTGCGATTAGATTGTATCTATTAATTTTACATCCACATTAAAAAAAAAATTGATTTTCCCAAATCAAATCAAAGTAAACGTTTTGCAACATAGTACAAACAATGATGTTAAAAGCCTCACAGAGACAAAAAAAAAAAAACGAAAACAAAATCGTTGCTTACCGTTGAGATTGTAGACCTAGAATCTACGCTTAGCAACTTCTTTCGTTTGAATACCAATGCTATGTGTAGCATCACCCGAAATTGGGAAACAGGAAAAAAAAATGTTCAGCGACTAAGAAGAAGTGTCACATGAGTTTGATTCTTGCTTGAATTTCAAAACCCCCCCGTTTTCAGTGGAAGAACAACAATGCATCTTTTGAGAGAGAGAAAGATGAATCGTTTTTTACTCAATGTATTCCGAAGATGAAGAGTCATGCCAGTTAGAGAGCGACTAATGAGGAATGATTGAAATTAGGATATTATTCTAAAACAGATTTTTGGAAACTAAATTGTGCAAAAAGGGTAATCAAGTCTTTTTACATCACAAGTGGATTTTTTTACAAAATATTTTTTACTATGTATTTTTTAACAATTAAATCTAATTTAGTGTACCAACTTCCGAAGTACTCCTAAATAAATAGTCGCATATCCTCTGGTCAGATTGTTTCTTGCATGAGAAATATGTGTAAGTCCTTTCTCTAACTCTTCTCTTATTTTTACTCTATTTACTTTAATTTAAAGTGCATAATTAAAGAAAACAATAAATTATTATTTAAAATATAAATATTATATATTCGATATTCAATTTTTAATATTACAAAAAAATTTCAAATACAGAGTTTTTTCTTTTTTATATATAATTAAAAAAGAGGGTGAAGGCAAAGAAAAGTTCCTAGAGACCCTCCCTGAAGAGATTATGAGGTCCCTGACTACGTCCGTCCGTCACTCCTGAAACATTAAATTGGTGCGACCTCTCTGAAACATGTTGGATGCTTCCTGACTAGGGAACTTGAGCTATCAAAGTCATGACTTGTTGTTGGGTTGAGGGGGAGGGGGGGATTAGGTCAATTGTCAATGGTCATTTCTGGTTTTCTAGTACAATTATTTGTGGAAGGTGTTGATGAATTGGATCATGTCTTGCCAATTTCACTCCTGTATATCTCCAATGAATGTCACTATTTATAGGTAATTTAATTTTAGTTGTGGTAAAAAAATTATTACTTCTTGACTAGGTTTACGACCTAAATTCGATTTCAATTCAACGGGCCTCCACTTGGAAATAAACTAGTGAAGACTCTTATATTTAAGATTGACAAATTTGGAAGTCGGTCTTCCTCTGTGGATTTATTTGAAAATAAGTTCATCAAAAAAAATTGTTTAATATTAAGTTTACTTTGATTTCTATTATTCAAAATAGCCCTAGTAATTGTGTGTTAAACTTGTGTGCGTGCAAGACCCTGCACAATATAAAAAACGAGAACAAATCTCTCCCTTGGTGAACTTCGAGTGAGCCCGTTGAGTGACCAAACACGCTGCTTGGAACAGCCTGCAAGGTACTGTGGTAACCTGGAACGGCAATGGGAGATCCTGGGAACGGAAGAACGATTCAGTAAGGCTGAAAGAGGTTCCTGGAACAAAGAAGAACAAGTTAGAAGGGCGCCGGAGTGTTTTCCGGCGTATCCCCTCCGACGATCTAGTCAGTCTTTGAGAGAGAGAGAGAGGAAGGAGAAAACACTCAGTGAGTATTGTAGTAAAGAGTTTTTTGTTGCATACCCGTCTTGCCTTTTGCAAGGAGTATTTATACCTCAAAAGCTCATGATTGTTGTCAGTGTGGTCAGTAGATGATCATTAGGTACAGGCGGTGTGTGCACTGATTCTGATGAGAATGTCTTCTCTTCTTAGGAGCATTTATTGCCTTTCATTTCCGAGCCTTACCGCATTGAATGCGGTCTCATCAAAGGAATGGTGTAATTAATAGTTTGCTTTCCCAAGTCGCGT